CAAGGCCCACCACTGTGGCTGGGAACTCCAGGGCATCCTCACTCCTTCCCTGCCTGAAGGGGCCCCCTGCACGATGCCAGTTTTGTCGCTGGACCCCTCCATGTCATAGATCATAGAACTCCCAACTGGTTTGGTTTGGGAGGGAGCTTAAAGCTCCTCCAGTTCCAACCCCCTGCCACGGGCAGGGACACCTTCCACTAGAGCAGGTTGTTCCAAGCCCCTGTGTCCAACCTGGCCTTGAACACTGCCAGGGATGGGGCAGCCACAGCTTCTCTGGGCACCCTGTGCCAGCGCCTCAGCACCTGAGGTACTCAGGTGGGCTCCTTCCCCCTCTCTGTGCCCATTGTGAGCCCCCAGCACGGAGACCCAGAGCACTTGGTTCCATTAGGGCAGGATGAGGCCCAGGCTCCCAGTGCAACCCTCCCCAGGGCCTCTGCCTCCTCACGTCGGCCGAGTGGAAGACGTGGCAGATCATGGTGTAGAGCCGCTTCTCCCCCGTGCCCTGCGCCTGCCGCGGCAGCTTCCGTCGCGCCATGAGCACCACGAGGGAGCCGATGTCGGCGATGTAGGAGATGGTCTGCAGGGAGTGATCCATCATGGCCTCCTGCAAGGGGCACACGGGCAGAAACCAGCTCTACGCTCCAAGAGACAAGCAGCTCCTTCCCTCAAGGGCTCACCCAGCTCGGGCTGGGGACCCCGCGGCTCCCAGGAGGTGCAGGTTGCATGAGAAGCCTCATGCCAGCACAAGAGACCTGAGGGACACCACCCGCCTGTGTGAGATGATGATGGAGTGACCTGTCTCCTCCCAGACACGTGTCCTCACTCACAGGCACCACCCACCCTGACATGTGGGTGCCAAGCAGAGCTCCCAAAGCCAAACAGGAAGATTTCAGCAGCCCCAAATCCATGTGGATGCTCCCTGCTCACCTGTGTGTCAGCCGTGAGCACCTTGATCCTCTGCGTGGAGACAAACAGATCCACCTCTGTCATGGGCTGGGACTCCCCCTCTGGGGCCTGCAGAACAAAGCACCCAGGAGGTCACTGCTGCTGCTGGGGGGGCCCTGCCTCACAGCCAGGAGGTGCCTGGGCAGGTTCTGAGCCGTGCCCCATGCCCATGGGGCTGACGGCAGTTGCGGCCCTTCCCCTCCTGCACCTTGATCCTGTCCACTGCCTCCTGGGCCTGGGCCATGCGGACACTGGTCGGGGGATTCCGCTCCGAGATCAGCTGCGTGGAGCCCAGGTACTTGGCTCCAAAAACCACACCGTCCAGCAGATCCTCTGGGTCACAGGGGCCTGGAACTGAGGCATCGGGAGGGACTAAGCAGGGGCTGGTCCCCCCCACCTCAGGGGTACCAACTCCTGCTGCCTGTTAACTGTGCTCCTACACCTGGAACCTGGGAGACAGCTCCCGGCACCATCAGTTGAACCAACTGATGCTTCCCTTGGGCACACCCTGGAATTCCTCTTTCTCCCTTCCCA